TTGAGTCTTCTCCAAAGATTGCCTACGCGTCTGAGCAGGAGCATACGGAAGATATTATTTTAAATTGTACTGGGGAACTTTGAGCCATCTAAATGTTTTGGCCATAAGTTCCATCCGCCATAGCTATACGGTTATGGATGAGGGGAATTTGATCCCAAAACATCTGCAGGGTCAGAACCCCCATTAGTTATTCTGACCCCAAGTTTTTCAGGGGGTGAAAGGTTGGGAGCGCTCCTCAACCCGGAGTTGTCCTTGGAAGCCCAAGTGACAGCAGTGGCGAGGAGCGCTTTCCTTCAGCTTCAGCTGATCCATCAGCTGCGTCCCTACCTGGAGGAAGATTGCCTAGCAACAGTAACACACACATTGGTTACTTCCCGGTTGGATTTCGGTAATGCGCTTTACATGGGGCTGCCCTTGAAGACAGTCCAGCTACTTCAGATGGTGCAAAACAGAGCAGCCAGGATGCTGTCGGGGACTGGGCGTTATTCCCATATAACCCCAGTACTCTATCAGCTCCATTGGCTTCCCATCCAAGTCCAGGCTCAATTCAAGGTGCTGGTTATTACCTATAAAGCCCTAAACAGCTTGGGACCAGGATACCTAAAGGAACACCTTATTCCCTATTTGCCCTCCCGCTCCCTGAGATCGGCAGCAGAGGCCCTCCTCCGGGAACCCTCCATGAAAGACGTTAGGAGACAGAGTACCCGGAGGAGGGCTTTTTCTGCGGTGGCGCCCCGTTTATGGAATGCGCTCCCCAGAGAGGTCCGCCTGGTGCCGTCATTATATGTTTTTTGGCACCAGGTTAAGACCTTTTTATTTAATCAATATTTTAATAAGTTTTAATATTGAATTTTATCACCATATTTTAATTGCAGCCAGAGTGCGTCATTAATTTATTTATGTTATGTTAGGTATTTGTATTTTATTTGTGTAAGTCGTCCTGAGGCTCTTGCAAAGGACAGCATACAAATACCTTAAATAAATAAATAATAAATAAATAAAGGTGGACACCAGACCTTCAAATTGTGAGGAAGGAAAGCTGGACTAGATAGACCTTTGAACGCATCCACCATGGCTCTTCTTGTGCAGCATGAAAAACAGTGACCTCGTATAATTTGCATCTCTGGCACACCAGAAGCCTTTGTCTCCCCTGTCACATCTTATCTCCAAACGCATCAGTCCAGACTCAACATTGTCTTAAAAGTTCCGTGTCACCTTCTTCAAACATTTAGATTCAGGACAGAGATATGCTGGCTTTGGAAAAGGCGTGGTCCCAAGCACACAGAGGTTTCTGCCAGGGTGTGAGTCACATTTCCACAGAAGGCCCTGCCAATACAAAATATCATATTTAAAAGACGGTCATTAACTGTTTCTAAATCCTACAATGAAATTAGAGTTTCGGCTGTGTAAAGAGCTTGCCAGCAATTCTCTTACCCATCCAGAAGTAGGACATGTGCTAGAGCAGGGACTGGCAATGGGCCACCGACTGTCCCTAATGACTTCTCGGGGCATCCCCCGTGCCCCAACTCTGCTCTTGGCTTAGCGTGATTTCTGGCTGAGGAGTCATGAGTACTGCTACTTCTCCTCCTGTGGCATGGGGGGAATATTGCCAAAAAGTCATGGTGATGCAATTTCAGCACCATAGATCTCACTGACCATCAAATGAGTCAACCAGGCCACAAAGAAAAAGCCTGGATGGATCCATCTGACAGTGTAGCTTTGCGCAAAGTTCAAATTCTCTTAATCTCAAGTTCTTTCTGTCCTGTTTATTAAGAATGGTGTGCATTAAGGGGAAGTTCTTATGCAAAACTGAACCAAACAAAACTCTATAATCTCTATCCCCTTCACCACCTTGAGAGGCAGAAGATCGAGAAGGCAAGCATTGATTGTCCCTAATCTATTATCCTTCAGATCTGTCTTGATTTAATTGACTCTTAGTGTTTTCCTAACAGATTGGTACACAGTTGTCCATCACGGGGCATGCCTTGCAAATGTTAATGATGCAAACTTCATCTCAAAGCCACTCGTCTGTGGCTTAAGCTGTATGAAGAGAGCTAATATATGAATTCCAGCAGTATTCATGCAAAACATGTGAATTGGAAATGCACTGTATTAAGTGTAACTCTTGGGGTCCACCAAAGGCCACAGGTAAACTGTTGATGCTAGTCAATCAGTTGGGTTGACCCAGGTTCAACAGGATGGATGACCAGTTAAAAGGTAGTCTATCTAAAGGTGGATCTAGATCCGTTCAGAAGCTCATTAATATGAAAGAGAATGAAGAAGGTGTTGATGTGCTTTGCTTGCTGAGTTAATAACAAGATGTCTTTGATAGATTCATAGCCCCAAAGAAGGGAGGAAAGACAATTAAAGCAATTAGAGTTTTAGATGTGTGTGAGTGAGCGGGGCCTACCTGGGCTGATAATTAATTATGATTCTAAAATCTCATGAATAAGGGATGTCTCATAATTGAAAAATTATCCCAGGGAGCATATAAAAGAGGAGAGCATTGGATCTCCTTCCACAGCTTCAGTTGATTCCATTCCTCAGAGACCGAGGAAGTCCTTGTCTGATCCAGTCTGTTCAGTAAGTCTTGAAATGTCTCTTGGGTTATTCTCTGCTTCCGCAAGGTTCTGGTGGGTGGATCTTGAAAGAACATGCTCAATTCATAAGAATTCTATGCTTTCACGTCTTTCTTTCTCTGATTCTCTTTGTTAGAAAGATGTTGACTGTAGGTCATAGAATCAGCTTGAAGAATGTGGTTGCCCTCTGCCTAGGTAGGATCATGGTGGAGCTAATATCGAATTTCCATTTGGTGGCTTCTGCACACTGACAAAATAAATGGATAGAAAAAACGGGCTGGAATATCGGAGCTTTAGCTACAGCAGGTGATTAGCTAACTTTTGGATGCCAGTTCCTGGAAGTGAAGATATAGCTGCCAGCAGAACCAAGCACTCTCTTGAAGAACAGGCAAAAAAGACGGATATGCTTAGCCAGGAGAAGAGATTCTTTGCCTGATATCACAATAGCCATTCTCAGATATCTGAAGGAGATGGAGAAGATCTTACTCTCTGTAGCTCCTGAGGGTACGGGACTAGAGGGCACTGGTGGAAACTGCAGGGAGGCAGATGTCAGCTAAACGTTAGGAAAAACTCCTTGAGGATGAGAGCTACTTCACAGTGGCACACATGAAGGAGGCGGAGAAGCTGGTTGGTGATCAGGGATGAAAGGTTACTGTGCTGATCAGGGGTGGGGGTGGGATGACCTCCACGATCCTCCACAAGCCTCATGCTCTATGATCCCGTGGTCCTTTTTTGCACTTACGGGGCATGAAGCTCATTACAGTCCATGGGACACCCTTCCATGCAAACGCACACGATGGGATTGTAATGCTATGACCCTAGGCATGCTAATTGGCTGGACTCAATAGAAATTATTGTCAGAAAACATACATAGCATCTTGAAGATGGAAGAATACTTCCATGACAGTTAGCTCCACTGAAATCGGCGCCAGGTAAAGACCTTTTTATTTAAGCATCATTTTAATTGTTAAAATATATGATCTGGCCAGGGCAATGTCCTCTTCCTTCTCTTTCCTCCTCCTATATTCTTTTTTACTTATTTTATACTGTTAATTTTACTTTTATATTATTTTTTGTATTTTTGTATTTATTGGTATTTTATTATGTTCTATTGTATTTCAATGTATCTTATTGTGTTGTAAGCCGCCCCGAAGCTTCGGCAAGGGGCGGCATAGAAATGTAATAATAATAATAATAATAATAATAATAATAATAATTCCATGAGATTTGGTATTTTTATAATGCATCTACAGCATTTCTATTCTAGACAGTCATCTGAGTGGGATGGTTTAACTCAGTGTCCTGCACTGAGCAGAGGGTTAGACCTAATGGCCTTCTGGCCCCTATCAACTCTACTATTCTATGAAACTGTTCCATTCAATTGCCAAAACTTTCTATTAAGGTTCTATTAAAATGCAAAAAAAATCTACTTCTGAAAAAAATATGCTTAGAAGAAGACTACAATGGCAACCAAACATGGAAGCAAAATCTTTTGAAAACAGCAATCCAATTCTTGTGTTTAGCATCCATCAAAAAGGTGTGTTCTCCATTTATGTAAAAGATCCAAATGGAAGCTGCTGCAGAAAGGAGTAGAAATATAACTAATTTATTTTGGTTTCTTTTTCTTTATCTACTTCACACATGCCAGACCAAACACAGATTCGGTTGGGATCAACAGCAAATTCTGCACATTTGCAAATCTGCAATGTGATTTGTGCAGCAATAAAAAAGCAAACAAAAAATGTGTTCGTCAGCAACCATGCATCTGAAAAAAATGTGCATGGAAAAGATGCTAGCCTTTGAGAAGTGCATACAAATACACCTTAATTTGTAGAGAAAAAATGCATGCATTTAAAAATATGCCTGATTGTCCATACATTTCAAAAATGCACGTGAAAATATGCATGGAACTTTGTGTGCAAGCAACAGCAAGACAAGGGATGCTCTCAATCAGACGGCAGTGAGGATGAGCTCCAACGTGGGTGTTGCAGAACTTGGTTGAGCTTGAGGTTTAACATAGAAACACAGAAAGAGAGTGAGTCAGAAGGGGCCTCCCGAGCCATCTAGTCTGAGCCCCGGCTCCAGCCGGCTCCGCTCACGACATGCCCACCATGTGCATGTCCAACCTAACCTTGAACACCCTCACCGATGGGAATTGCACATCACTCCCTGTGTGGTTAAACCAAGGAAACAAATCAGCTACTAGAATAAGATTACAGGTTCAATCCTAGACCCATTTATCTGACAGTAAGCCCTACCGAACTGAATGGGACTGAACTCTTAGCAGACAAGGACAGGGTGGTAATGTGAATAGGGTACCCTACCGTGTTAGGAAGTTATGGTTTGGATCCAACGCTTGCTCAGGCTGACTCTGTGCCATGTTGTGTCATTTCAGATCCAAGAGCTCTTCTTTAAAGCAAGATGACTGTCTTCTATCACCAGTCCTACTGCGACCCAGGGTGCTACAGACCCTACTCTTCTTGCAGCTCCTATGGAGGCTACAGAGGCAAAATCTCCTATAGCACTGGGAGCTGCTATGGAGGAGGATATGGCTACAGGCCAAGATATGGTGGCTCGTATGGTGGCCAAGGCTATGGCCGCATTTGCTACCAGCCATTAGGCCTTGGTGGCTATGGTGGCTATGGTGGCTATGGTGGCTATGGTGGCTATGGTGGCTATGGTAGTGGTGGTTATGGTTATAAACGCATTTCCTACCAGCCAATAAGTTGTGGTGGTTTTGGCTATGGAGGTGGCTATGGAAAACAGTATACCAGTCGCTATGGCTGCTACCAACCTCACTACAGCTATGGATCCAGGCGTGGCAGCATCTGCTATGACCCATGCGACTAAAGTTCCAGGCTGCCCGGTTCCCTCACCTGAAAGATCGGCTGCGGCAGTTCTGTGGACCCTTCCTCTGAAACCAAGAACAGCACATGAACCAACACAGATGCAACCCACGAGACACTGAACTTGCCAGGCCTGGCTTTCCAGAATCGTTGAGCCCTCAAGAATTTCAGAAGGGTCTGCTGGGAGTTCAGTACTTCTTCGGACTTCTTCTTCTCAGCACTTCGACTCCCCCTGCTTTACTCACATCACCCTCCGCTGCACCGAGTGACTGCTTCTGTAGCAGACATCATCCGCGTGTCCACACAGGCCCAGTGCTTCCTGCTGGGGAAACATAACGATGGAAACCTCCTCCGAGACTTCACCTGCGTTGTGTTACTCCAATCAGAACCAGCAGTTGTGCAGCACCTTCATCTGCTTACTGCGTCCAAACTAATTAAAAACCAAAAAGCTTGCTTTGCATCACAACGTTGTGTCTTGGATTTTGTGTTATTGCCCATACCTAATATCTGGTTCTCATTCTCCTAAAAACTTGCATGGATGTTCAATCTCAGGTCCAGGAGCCAAAGTTCATGCTCCTGGGATCCCAGCCTGGTCTCTTCAAACTACCCCTAGTTCTTAGCCAGGGTGTTTTTGCTGTTGTCAGCCTCTCAGTAGTCCCATTCCCATGCCCCCACCCCTTTTTCCCACCCACCATTCATTTCTCGGCTTCCTGTTATCCTCTCCCCACATTCTGCATTCTCCTAAGCCTTAGCTCCCAGCAGAATGCTAAAATACGGTACAAGCATTAATGGTAACCCTAACCAACCACTTTTGCCTTTGGCCAAGGCAAAGCACCTGATTAAACTGAATGGCGTCTTCAGAAGTGAATTTGGCCCCTGAGCAGAAAGAGGTTAGACACCTTGACGCCCCTGCTCTACCAGTATACCTGCAGCCAGTAGCTTAGCAATGAAACAGAGCCGACCAAGAGAAGATGGGTCTATCTGGTAGCTGTACTATGCCCATTCATGACCCATAGCACAAGGGAAGTAAAAATATTCAATTCAATTTAGATGCCAGGAAGTCCTTCCTGACAGTTAGGATCCAAAGGGTGTGGAATGGGCTTCCACGGGAGGTGGTTGAGGCCCCATTGGGGAGGGTGTTCAAAGATAGGCTAGACATGCACATGGTGGGCATGTCATGAGTGAAGCCGGCAGGTGCCAGGGGTCAGACTAGAAGGCTCGGGAGGCCCCTTCTGACTCTCTCTGTTTCTATGTTTCTATATGCTTGCATGTACAAGCCACGTAGAACCCATGACTGTGGGCTCACATTTCCCTTTTGTCTCAGTGAGTGGTTCTGCAGTAAGGATACAAAGCAACATCGAGATGAAATGATGTCCATGAGATCATATTGCTATTTCATCCCTAAAGAGTCCAAACAGAAAAGGCAAACAAGCAGACTCTGGTGAGAGATCCTGTCTCTTAGAGACAGTGAGGGTACTTTCTGTGCTAAAGCCCCAAGACCAGTCCCAGAACTGGTGCCTGGGATAAAGAACAAGGGGGTGATTTCTTCCCTTCCTATGGAAGTAAGCTAGGATGATTGGTAGGTGAACCCGGATGATTGGCTGAGGAGCCCTGCATATCTGATTGTGCAGGCGAGTTTTGGAGACTCAGAGCAGATTTTGTCGCCATGCACAGCTCTGCCCTTCAGCAGAAGGGAATGCCTGGGGGTTCGGAAGGAAGCATCTGAGAAGATGCCACCACTATCCAGTATCTGCTGCCTGAAGCTGTTGTGCACTCTGCTTCACTGTAGCTCTACCAGTTCTGGTTGCTTTTCAGCTGTGTAAGGCTGGAAGTTTATAACAGTGTCCTTAAGGGTGGGTGAATCAGTTCTGGTCTGTGCCAGCTTTCATGCACATTCAGTCACAAGGGATGCAGTTCCAGCATGTATCTTCCTGTACTTTCTCCCCAAATGCACCTTCTCTCCTTTTGTGTTCAGCCTCCCCCTGCAGATGGGCTTTTGTGCACAACATTCCCGAGCGCATGCATGGTGAGGGTTCCAACCCAACTCAAACGGGCAGCTTTTCAAACTAAGCAAGATTATGACCTATAAAGCCCTAAACGGCTTGGGTCCTGGCTACCTGAACGAGCGCTTACGTCCGTATATGCCCGAGCGCCCTTTGAGATCTGCGGGAGAGCCCCTTCTCCGGGAACCCTCCATGAAAGAAATTAGGAGAGTAAGTACCCGGAGGAGGGCTTTCTCTGCGGTGGCACCCAACCTATGGAATTCACTCCCCAAAGAGGTCCGCCTGGCACCGTCGTTACTGGTTTTTCGGCGCCAGGTAAAGACCTTTTTATTTAAACATCATTTGAATTGTTAAAACATATGATCTGGCCAGGGCAACTTCTTCTCCCTTCTCTTTCTCCTCCTATATTTTTATTTATTTAAGTTATACTGATAATTTTAATCTTATATTTGTAAACCAATGCATTTTTTGTATTTTGTATTTAATGGTAATTTATTATGTGCTATTGTATTTCGTTGTATTTTATCGTGTTGTAAGCCGCCCCGAGGTTTCGGCAAGGGGCGGCATAGAAATGTTATAATAATAATAATAATAATAATAACAACAACAACAACAACAACAACAACAACAACTTCGGCAGCACCCCTCCACCCCATATCCTGCCCCATAATTCTATTGATCCCTCCTCATTTACTGCTGCTTGGAGATGCCCAGAGGGCCACGAGCTGTCCTCTTTGGGGCTCAACAGGAAGGAAGGAGTGTCTTCTTTTCTGCAGAACAAGACACTCAGCAACCTTCAAGTCACTGTACCCTCCTGTTCTTGCATTATGCGCATGGAGAAATGCCAGAGAAATGATGAATGGAATGGGAGGGATGCCTTGCGTGAAGGAAAGGTGGGGCTAAACTGATAAGAGACCGATGTAGGAAGGACTCAGAAGAAAGTTGATTACCTGCTGGCACAGGGGTGATGGGTGGAGAAATGCGTGGTCCCTGTAATTGGTTGCAAACATGAGCAATCAATATGGACTGGGTGAGGCCAGGTGGGTCAAAGCAACGTGGGAAGGTGCGTGTGTGTGGGAGGGAGGGAGGGAGGGATTATGGGCTGCCATGAGCTTTCCACCCTGTGCCTGGAAACTCCTGTGGGAATGACACACTTGATGATTGCAGTGGCCTGCCCCCAAAAGGACTGTGATGTTTTTTTCAGGGGTGGGCGATTGGTCCTGCCTCAATCAAAAGGGTACCCTGAAAACATTAATGCAGTCTATTCACAAGAAATGGTGATCTGATCAAAGATCTGTGAAAATGAATCAGTAGCTCCAGAAGAAATGGCATGGTGGAATGACTCTCCACAAGTGTTTGTCGGTATCTCGGCAGTTTCAGTGGCATTGAACTCCACGGGACTTGCCTCCAACTATATACATGCATAGGGTATGTATTGACTTCAATGTTCTAAAATCCATTCACCGCAACACATAAAGATACTTGATGAAGGTTGAGAGAGGTTCTAAAAAGGCAGCATCACTCTGTGCATGCTCAATGAAACTGTCAAACTGAGACGTCCACCCCTTTGCTGGACAGAGATGCTCAGTTCATTGCCTATGTACTAATGCAGGAGCTGAAGAGATCTTGGAAGGAAGGATTTGTAGATGGGATCTGGGTGTAAGTTAGTGGATATGCTGGTGGGGATGATGGGAATGGGAATCTAACTCATCCAGAGGGCACAAGTTTGGGGAAAACAGTATCTTCTGGATGCACTTTTTAAATAATACAATTTGGGTATGTGTGTGCTGGAATCATAGAATAGTAGAGTTGGAAGGGGCCATGAAGGTTATCAAGTCCAACCCCCTGCTGTTGCAGGATGCCACATTACACCAACCAGGATATCATGTGGCACTTTGGCCTTGCTGAAATCCAGGTAAACCACATCCACCATGTCCCCTCCATCTAGCCACCTCGAAAGCTTGTCATAGAATTCCACAGAAGACACGAGGCTGTGGGTGGATGGTTCCTTCAGCTGGATGGAATCTGTTCACCCTGTTCTGGATGGGTTGCATTGCCTTTGAAGGAGCAGGTCGGCATCTTGGGGGTGTCATCCTTGAGCTTTGGGGCTCAGGGGGGCACAGTGGCTTGGAGTGCCTTCCACCAGCTTTGTCTGGTGGCTCAAGCTTGACTTCAGTGTTCTATGCACTAGTTATCTCTAGTTCATAGAATTACAAAAAAGTGGAGTAGGAAGGGGCCAAGAAGGCCCACCTCCCCTGTTGCAGGACACCAGTTACACCACCCCACTTGGATGGCTGCCCAGTTTCACCCTGAATGTCCCCAGTGTGGAAGAGCCCCCCACCTCTCCAGGCAGCTGGTCCCACTGTTGTGTTGCTCTGACAGTGAGGGAGCTTTCCCTGATGTCCAGCCTGAATCTGGGTTGTCACAACTTGACTTGATTCTTCCTTGTCCTACACTCTGGCATCAGCAAGCAGAGATCCCAACCTTCCCCTTTGTGACAGCCTTTCAGGGACTTCTAGAGGGATCTCATGTCCCCTCTCAGCCTTCTCTTCTCAAGGCTGAACATGCCCAGTTTCCTCAGTTTCCAAACCCTGGATCATTTTTGTTGCCCTCCTCTGGACCCTTTCTAATTTACCTGTATCATACTGAAGATGAAACTCAAGCACTTTGGCCACCTAACGAGAAGGAAGGACTCCCTGGAGAAGAGTCTAATGCTGGGAACAATTGATGGCAAAAGAAGAAGGAGACAGCAGAGGATGAGGTGGCTGGATGGGGTCACTGGGGCAGTTGGCGTGGGCTTGGGTGGACTTCAAGGGATGGTGGAGGACAGGAAGGCCTGGAGGAATGTTGTCCATGGGGTCGCGATGGGTCGGACACGACTTCGCGACTAACAACAGCAACAACAAATCTTTCTAAGATGGTTAGATAGCCCCTCCATCATCTTCCCTGGCAAAAGTGGAACATTTCACACAAGGAATGGAGTTGCCCACCCATAGCGTGA